TTTTTCCAAGCCATGGATATAGGCGTGGATTTTTTAAAAATATTTTTCCAAGCCATGGATATAGGCGTGGATTTTTTAAAAATATTTTTCCAAGCCATGGATATAGGCGTGGATTTTTTAAAAATATTTTTTCAACGACCATCCAAGGCGTGGATTTTTTAAAAATATTTTTTCAACGACCATCCAACGCGTGAATTTTTTAAAAATATTTTTTCATCGACCATCCAAGGCGTGGATTTTTTAAAAATATTTTTTCAACGACCATCCAAGGCGTGGATTTTTTAAAAATATTTTGTCAACGACCATCCAAGCGTGGATTTTTTAAAAATATTTTGTCCAACGACCATCCAACGCGTGGATTTTTTAAAAATATTTTTTCAACGACCATCCAAGGCGTGGATTTTTAAAAATATTTTGTCAACGACCATCCAAGGCGTGGATTTTTAAAAATATTTTTTCAACGACCATCCAAGGCGTGGATTTTTTAAAAATATTTTTCAACGACCATCCAAGGCGTGGATTTTTTAAAAATATTTTTTCAACGACCATCCAAGGCGTGGATTTTTTAAAATATTTTTTCAACGACCATCCAAGGCGGGATTTTTTAAAAATATTTTTTCAACGACCATCCAAGGCGTGGATTTTTTAAAAATATTTTTTCAACGACCATCCAAGGCGTGGATTTTTTAAAAATATTTTTTCAACGACCATCCAAGGCGTGGATTTTTAAAAATATTTTTTCAACGACCATCCAAGGCGTGGATTTTTTAAAAATATTTTTTCAAACGACCATCCAAGGCGTGGATTTTTTAAAATATTTTTTCAACGACCATCCAAGGCGTGGATTTTTTAAAAATATTTTTCAACGACCATCCAAGGCGTGGATTTTTTAAAAATATTTTTTCAACGACCATCCAAGGCGTGGATTTTTAAAAATATTTTTTCAACGACCATCCAAGGCGTGGATTTTTTAAAAATATTTTTTCAACGACCATCCAAGGCGTGGATTTTTTAAAAATATTTTTTCAACGACCATCCAAGGCGTGGATTTTTTTAAAAATATTTTTTCAACGACCATCCAAGGCGTGGATTTTTTAAAAATATTTTTCAACGACCATCCAAGGCGTGGATTTTTTAAAAATATTTTTTCAACGACCATCCAAGGCGTGGATTTTTTAAAAATATTTTTTCAACGACCATCCAAGGCGTGGATTTTTTAAAAATTTTTTCAAACGACCATCCAAGGCGTGGATTTTTTAAAATATTTTTTCAACGACCATCCAAGGCGTGGATTTTTTAAAAATATTTTTTCAACGACCATCCAAGGCGTGGATTTTTTAAAAATATTTTTTCAACGACCATCCAAGGCGTGGATTTTTTAAAAATATTTTTTCAACGACCATCCAAGGCGTGGATTTTTTAAAAAATATTTTTTCAACGACCATCCAAGGCGTGGATTTTTAAAAATATTTTTCAACGACCATCCAAGGCGTGGATTTTTTTAAAAATATTTTTCAACGACCATCCAAGGCGTGGATTTTTAAAAATATTTTTTCAACGACCATCCAAGGCGTGGATTTTTTAAAAAATATTTTTTCAACGACCATCCAAGGCGTGGATTTTTTAAAAATATTTTTCAACGACCATCCAAGGCGTGGATTTTTTAAAATATTTTTTCAACGACCATCCAAGCGTGGATTTTTAAAATATTTTTTCACGACCATCCAAGGCGTGGATTTTTAAAAATTTTTTTTTCAAAGATAAAATAGGCGGGGATTTATTAAAAATATTTTTTCCTAGGCCAATATAGGCGTGGATTTATTAAAAATATTTTTCCAAGGCCAATATAGGGGTGCATTTATTAAAAATATTTTTCCAAGGCCAATATAGGGGGGCATTTATTAAAAATATTTTTCCAAGGCCAATATAGGCGTGGATTTTTTAAAAATATTTTTCCAAGGCCAATATAGGCGTGGATTTTTTAAAAATATTTTTTCAACGACCATCCAAGGCGTGGATTTTTTAAAAATATTTTTTCAACGACCATCCAACGCGTGAATTTTTTAAAAATATATTTTCATCGACCATCCAAGGCGTGGATTTTTTAAAAATATTTTTTCAACGACCATCCAAGGCGTGGATTTTTTAAAAATATTTTTCCAAGGCCAATATAGGCGTGGATTTTTTAAAAATATTTTTTCAACGACCATCCAACGCGTGAATTTTTTAAAAATATTTTTTCATCGACCATCCAAGGCGTGGATTTTTTTAAAAATATTTTTTCAACGACCATCCAAGGCGTGGATTTTTTTAAAAAATATTTTGTCAACGACCATCCAACGCGTGGATTTTTTTAAAAATATTTTGTCAAACGACCATCCAACGCGTGGATTTTTTTAAAAATATTTTTTCAACGACCATCCAAGGCGTGGATTTTTAAAAATATTTTTTCAACGACCATCCAAGGCGTGGATTTTTTTAAAAATATTTTTTCAACGACCATCCAAGGCGTGGATTTTTTAAAAATATTTTTTCAACGACCATCCAAGGCGTGGATTTTTAAAAATATTTTTTCAACGACCATCCAAGGCGTGGATTTTTTAAAATATTTTTTCAACGACCATCCAAGGCGTGGATTTTTTAAAAATATTTTTTCAACGACCATCCAAGGCGTGGATTTTTTTAAAAATATTTTTTCAACGACCATCCAAGGCGTGGATTTTTAAAAATATTTTTTCAACGACCATCCAAGGCGTGGATTTTTTAAAAATATTTTTTCAACGACCATCCAAGGCGTGGATTTTTTAAAAATATTTTTTCAACGACCATCCAAGGCGTGGATTTTTAAAAATATTTTTTCAACGACCATCCAAGGCGTGGATTTTTTAAAATATTTTTTCAACGACCATCCAAGGCGTGGATTTTTTAAAACTATTTTTTCAACGACCATCCAAGGCGTGGATTTTTTAAAAATATTTTTTCAACGACCATCCAAGGCGTGGATTTTTAAAAATATTTTTTCAACGACCATCCAAGGCGTGGATTTTTTAAAAATATTTTTTCAACGACCATCCAAGGCGTGGATTTTTTAAAATATTTTTTCAACGACCATCCAAGGCGTGGATTTTTTAAAAATATTTTTTCAACGACCATCCAAGGCGTGGATTTTTTAAAAATATTTTTTCAACGACCATCCAAGGCGTGGATTTTTTAAAAATATTTTTTCAACGACCATCCAAGGCGTGGATTTTTTAAAAATATTTTTTCAACGACCATCCAAGGCGTGGATTTTTTAAAAATATTTTTTCAACGACCATCCAAGGCGTGGATTTTTTAAAATTTTTTTCAACGACCATCCAAGGCGTGGATTTTTTAAAAATATTTTTTCAACGACCATCCAAGGCGTGGATTTTTTAAAAATATTTTTTCAACGACCATCCAAGGCGTGGATTTTTTAAAATATTTTTTCAACGACCATCCAAGGCGTGGATTTTTTAAAAATATTTTTTCAACGACCATCCAAGGCGTGGATTTTTTAAAAATATTTTTTCAACGACCATCCAAGGCGTGGATTTTTTAAAAATATTTTTTCAACGACCATCCAAGGCGTGGATTTTTTTAAAAATATTTTTTCAACGACCATCCAAGGCGTGGATTTTTTAAAATATTTTTTCAACGACCATCCAAGGCGTGGATTTTTTAAAAAATATTTTTTCAACGGACCATCCAAGGCGTGGATTTTTTAAAAATATTTTTTCAACGACCATCCAAGGCGTGGATTTTTTAAAATATTTTTTCAACGACCATCCAAGCGTGGATTTTTTTAAAAATATTTTTTCAACGACCATCCAAGGCGTGGATTTTTTAAAAATATTTTTTCAACGACCATCCAAGGCGTGGATTTTTTTAAAAATATTTTTTCAACGACCATCCAAGGCGTGGATTTTTTAAAAATATTTTTTCAACGACCATCCAAGGCCGTGGATTTTTTAAAAATATTTTTTCAACGACCATCCAAGGCGTGGATTTTTTAAAAAATATTTTTTTCAACGACCATCCAAGGCGTGGATTTTTAAAAATATTTTTTCAACGACCATCCAAGGCGTGGATTTTTTAAAAATATTTTTTCAACGACCATCCAAGGCGTGGATTTTTAAAAATATTTTTTCAACGACCATCCAAGGCGTGGATTTTTTAAAACTATTTTTCAACGACCATCCAAGGCGTGGATTTTTTTTAAAAATATTTTTTCAACGACCATCCAAGGCGTGGATTTTTTTAAAAATATTTTTTCAACGACCATCCAAGGCGTGGATTTTTTAAAATATTTTTTCAACGACCATCCAAGGCGTGGATTTTTTAAAAATATTTTTTCAACGACCATCCAAGGCGTGGATTTTTTAAAATATTTTTTCAACGACCATCCAAGGCGTGGATTTTTTTAAAAATATTTTTTCAACGACCATCCAAGGCGTGGATTTTTTAAAAATATTTTTTCAACGACCATCCAAGGCGTGGATTTTTTAAAAATATTTTTTCAACGACCATCCAAGGCGTGGATTTTTTAAAAATATTTTTTCAACGACCATCCAAGGCGTGGATTTTTTAAAAATATTTTTTCAACGACCATCCAAGGCGTGGATTTTTTAAAAATATTTTTTCAACGACCATCCAAGGCGTGGATTTTTTAAAAATATTTTTTCAACGAACATCCAAGGCGTGGATAAAGCCGGAGTTACCAAAAACAGGTCTTGTTTATTTTTTTTTTTTTTTTTTTTTGAAGTTTGATTTTTTTTTAGATATTCCTCGTATGTAGAACTTAATTTTTTATTGCCCTGAAAGCCATAGAATTTTGAATTTTTTAAATATTCAAATTAGCATTTATTTGCAATTAATTCTCAGGCATGTCTTCGACTCTTTGTCACCCAAACGATATTTCTTAATCCGACCCGCAAAAAAAGTATTTATATCATGTTTGGAATGCCCAAAATTTTGAAAATAAAAAAATCATGAAATTTTTACCCCTATTGACCGTATCTGTGGCCCTGGTATTATTAACGGGCCTTACGTCTGCCGAACCGGTATGGACAATTCAATGAAATCCCGAGAAAATCCAATAATTAAATTTTATATTTTTTTAGACACCCGGCAATCCTCGCTATGGCGGCCGAGATAGACGGATACCAGGACGTTAAGAACAGGACAATTACAGGATTCAAATATTTTAAAATGATAATATAAAAAATTAAATAAAAAAAATTAAATCTTGAAATTTTGCACAAGGGCCAGCCAGTGATAAGGCTGGATTTTTGGAAATCCATATCAAAAATGGTACGAAAAACACTAAATTGTACTAAAAAAAATTGCGTACTTTGTATTGGACAAACGGAATGAGCGAATTTTCGAAAATTTGTGTTGGCCGAAGGGGTAGGACTTGAATCCTTAAATTTTAAATGGTATCTGGAATTGAGATAGGGAGGTGGTTTTTGAAATGTGTATTATCATTGTACGAAAAGTACTAAATGGTACTAAATTTGGTATAAGACGAAGGGATTGAGATAAAATTTTAAAATTTGAAATTAAGGGTCTGTTGGTGTCCGCTCCTTTGATATGGTGGTGGTTTTGGAAAAATGTTCTACAATTGTATGAAAAGTACTTTTTTTGAAATATAAAATAGTCCCGGATTTAAAAAAATATATTTTTTTTTTTCAAAGCCTACGTAGGCGTGGATTTCTCAAAAATATTTTTTTAAAGATAAAATAGTCCTGGATTTTTTAACAAAAATATTTTTTTCAAAGATAAAATAAAATATCCGGGAGTATTTTTCCTTGAAAAAATATATTACAAAAAACATGACGGGATCGATCCCCTTTTCCAATTTGGCGTGGATTTATTAAAAATATTTAAATATATTTTTTTAGTAAAAAAATAAAAAAAAAATTTTCAAATGATAAAATAGTCACGGATTAAAAAAAATTAAAGATTAAATGGCCCTGGATTAAAAAAATATATTTTTTCAAAAATAAATTGGTCGCGAATTTTTAAAAAAATATTTTTTTTTCAAATATAAAATAGGCGTGGATTTCTGAAAATTATTTTTTTCAAAGATAAAATAGTCACGGATTTATAAAAAAATATATTTCTCGAAGATAAAATGGTCCCGGATTTTTAAAAAATATATATTTTTCAAGGATAAAATAGTCCCGGATTTAAAAAAAATTTCAAAATCCACGTAGGCGTGGATTACTTTAAAATATTTTTTTCAAAGATAAAATAGTTCCGGATTTAAAAAAATATATTTTTTTTTCAAATCCTATATAGGCGTGGATTTCTCAAAAATATTTTTTCAAACATAAAATAGCACTGGATTTTTTAACAAAAATATGTTTTTCAAAGATAAAATAGTCTCGGATTTAAATAAAAATATATTTTTACAAAGTCTTCATAGGTGTGGATTACTTAAAAATATTTTTTCAAAGATAAAATAGTCCTGGATTTTTTAACAAAAATATTTTTTTCAAAGATAAAATATTCCCTAATTTTTTAGAAAATATAATTTTCAAAGCGTACGTAGGCGTGGATTTCTTAAAAATATTTTTTTTTTTTTTTCAAAAATAAAATAGTCCCGTAATTTTTAAAAAAATATTCTCTTCAAAGATAAAATAGTCCCGAATTTTTTAAAAAATATTTTTTCAAAGTCTTCATAGGCGTGGATGCCTTAAAAATATTTTTCTCAAGGATAAAATAGTCCCGGATTTTTTTAAAAAATAGTTTTTTCAAAGCATACATGGGGGTGGAATTCTTTTTTTTTTTCAAAAATAAAATAGTCCCGTATTTAAAAAAAATGTTTTTTTTTTTTTAAATAAATTAGTCCTGGATTTTTTAACAAAAATATTTTTTTCAAAGACAAATAGTCCAGGAATTTTGTAAAAATAATATTTTTTTAAGAACCTACATAGTCGTGGATATTTAATTATTTTTTTAAGAACGTATATAGGATTTCTTAAATATATTTTTTCCCGAATCTTTTAAAAAATATTTTTTTTAAAATCCTACATAGGCGTGGTTTTTTTAAAAAATATTTTTTTCAAAAACTAAATAGTCCCGTATTTTTAAAAAAAATATTTTTTTCAAAGCGTACTTAGGTGTGGATTTCTTAAAAATATTTTATTCAAAAACTAAATAGTCCCGTATTTTTTAAAAAAATATTTTTTCAAAGCCTACTTAGGCGTGGATTTCTTAAAAATATTTTTTTATAGTACCGGAATTTTTAAAAAATATTTTTTTTTTTCAAAGATAAAATAGTAACTGATTGTTAAAAAAATACTTTTCAAAGTTTTCATAGGCGTGGATTTTTTAAAAATACTTTTTGTTTTCAAAAATAAAATAGTCCCGTATTTTTTTAAACAATTTTTTTTTTTTCAAGAATAAAATAGTCCCGGATCTTTTAAAAAAATATTTTTTCAAAGTCTTCATAGGCGTGGATTTAAAAAAAAATTTCAAGAATAAAATAGTCCCGGATCTTTTAAAAAAAAAATATTTTTTCAAAGTCTTCATAGGCGTGGATTTTTTAAAAAAAGAATTTTCAAGAATAAAATAGTCCCGGATCTTTTAAAAAAATATTTTTTCAAAGTCTTCATAGGCGTGGATTTAAAAAAAATTCAAGAATAAAATAGTCCCGGATCTTTTAAAAAAATATTTTTTCAAAGTCTTCATAGGCGTGGATTGAAAAAAAAAATGTTCAAGAATAAAACAGTCCCGGACCTTTTAAAAAAAATATTTTTTCAAAGTCTTCATATACGTGGATTTAAAAAAAAAAAAAATTCAAGAATAAAATAGACCCGGATCTTTTAAAAAAAATATTTTTTCAAAGTCTTTATAGGCGTTGATTTTTTAAAAAAAGAATTTTCAAGAATAAAATAGTCACGGATCTTTTAAAAAAATATTTTTTCAAAGTCTTTATAGGCGTAGATTTTTTTAAAATAATTTTTTCAAGGGTTTTGGAATTGTGTTTAAGGCTATACAACTGCCGTAGATTGAAAAGAGCTTCATTTTTTACTTTTTTGTTTTTAAATTAAATGAGTTTTTATGGCTGCGAAAACGAAAACAAATGTTATTGTCAGAAAATTTCGGACTAATTAACAATAGAGACCTTTTTAAATTTCCACAAAAAATTGGTCATGAATATGAACAATAAAAAATATATTAATTTTTTAATTTCACAAAATTAAATCCGTTCAAGTTTTTGTTTAAATAATTTGTTCTAATCAATTACCGATCACGTTCTTGATAGTCAGGGCTCTTGGCAAATGGAATGTCGTATAAAGGCCAAAAAATCCCTCAGCTGGTGATCAGAACATCATGAAGTTCTTACCAATTATAATCGGCCTGATTGCCTTAGTCTGCATCTCAACACCCGCCACAGCAGAACCGGTATGTTGAGCGCATTAAGGAATCAATACTGAATACATAATTTGTAAATAAAAAATGTATTTTTTCAGGCTCGTGGCAACTCTCGTGTGGGAAAACGTCAGGGCTGAAGATGGAACCGTAAAAAACAAGAGCTAAGAAAATGATGGAAAAAATATATGTACTTTTTTAAATTGAATAAATAAAAATATGTTTTCCATATACCAAATATGCGTGGATTTTTTAAAAATATTTTTTCCAAGGCCAATTTAAGCGTGGATTTTTTAAAAATATTTTTTCCATAGACAAATATAGGCGTGGATTTTTTAAAAACATTTTTTTTTCAAAGCCTAACTAGGCGTGGATTTTTTAAAAATATTTTTTTCCAAAGGCCAAATAGGCGTGGATTATTAAAAAAATATTTTTCCAGGGCCTACGCAAGCGTGGATTTTTTAAAAATATTTTTCCATAGACCAAATAGGCGTGGATTTTTAAAAAAATAATTTTTCCGTAGACCAAAAAGGCGTGGATTTAAAAACAAATATTTTTTCCGTAGACCAAAAATGCGTGGATTTTTTAAAAAATATTTTTCCAAGGTCAACGCAAGCGTGGATTTTTTAAAAATATTTTTCCTATAGACCAAATAGGCGTGGATTTTTTAAAAATATTTTTCCTATAGACCAAATAGGCGTGGATTTTTTAAAAATATTTTTTTCTAAGACCAATATAGGCGTGGATTTTTTAAAAATATTTTTTTCCGTAGACCAATATAGTCGTGAATTTTTTAAAATTATTTTTTCCGTAGACCAATATAGGCGTGGATTTTTTAAAAATATTTTTTTTAAAGATCAAACAGTCATGGATTTTTTAAAAATACTTTTTCCAAATAGGCGTGGATTTTTTAAAAATATTTTTTTTAAAGATCAAACAGGCATGGATTTTTTAAAAATACTTTTTCCAAATAGGCGTGGATTTTTTTAAAATACTTTTTCCAAATAGGCGTGGATTTTTTAAAAATACTTTTTCCAAATAGGCGTGGATTTTTTAAAAATACTTTTTCCAAATAGGCGTGGATTTTTTAAAAATATTTTTTTTAAAGATCAAACAGGCATGGATTTTTTAAAAATACTTTTTCCAAATAGGCGTGGCTTTTTTTAAAATACTTTTTCCAAATAGGCGTGGATTTTTTAAAAATACTTTTTCCAAATAGGCGTGGATTTTTTAAAAATACTTTTTCCAAATAGGCGTGGATTTTTTAAAAATACTTTTTCCAAATAGGCGTGGATTTTTTTAAAATACTTTTTCCAAATAGGCGTGGATTTTTTAAAATACTTTTTCCAAATAGGCGTGGATTTTTTTAAAATACTTTTTCCAAATAGGCGTGGATTTTTTAAAAATACTTTTTCCAAATAGGCGTAGATTTTTTTAGTATTTTTTCCAATAGGCGTGGATTTTTTAAAAATACTTTTTCCAAATAGGCGTAGATTTTTTTTAGTATTTTTTCCAAATAGGCGTGGATTTTTTAAAATACTTTTTCCAAATAGGCGTAGATTTTTTTTAGTATTTTTTCCAAATAGGCGTGGATTTTTTAAAAATACTTTTTCCAAATAGGCGTAGATTTTTTTTAGTATTTTTTCCAAATAGGCGTGGATTTTTTAAAAATACTTTTTCCATAGACCAAATAGGCGTGGATTTTTTAAAATATTTTTTCAATAGACCAAATAGGCGTGGATTTTTTAAAATATTTTTTCAATAGACCAAATAGGCGTGGATTTTTTAAAATATTTTTTCCAAAGTCTACATAAGCGTGGATTTTTTAAAAATATTTTTCTAAACGCCAAATATGCGTAGATTTTTTAAAAAATATTTTTCCAAAGTCTACTTAGGCGTGGATTTTTTAAAAATATTTTTTCCAAAGTCTACCTAAGCGTGGATTTTTTAAAAATACTTTTCTAAAAACCAAATAGGCGTAGATTTTTTTAAAAATATTTTTTTTAAAGTCTACCTAAGCGTGGATTTTTCAAAAATATTTTTTCAAGGAACAAATATGCGTGGATTTTTTAAAACTATTTTTTCCAAAGTCTACCTAAGCGTGGATTTTTCAAAAATATTTTTTCCAAGGAACAAATATGCTTGGATTTTTTAAAAATATTTTTTCCATGGATTTTATAAAAATATTTTTCCCAAAGTCCACATGGACGTGGATTTTTTTAAAATATTTTTTCCAAAGTTTACATAGGCGTGGTTTTTTAAAAAAATATTTTTTCAAGGCCAATGTAGGCGTGGATTTTTTAAAAATATTTTTTCAAGGCCAATGTAGGCGTGGATTTTTTTTTTAAATATTTTTTCCAAGGCCAATATAGGAGTGGATTTTTTTTTAAATATTTTTTCCAAGGCCAACATATAAATATCTTACGTGTCTCTACATAAATTTAATACATTAGTAGCTTTTTTAATGGGACACTGTCAATATTTGTGAATTTTCAGAATTCAAATCTCTTATATAAACGAAAATATCAATGTAAAAGCACGGCATTTCTTGGCAAATCTTGAATCACAACTGATATGAATCTCCTACCATTTACCTTGGGTCTAGTTGGCATAATTTTTGCTTTAAGTTCGGCTAAGGCTACACCGGTATATACACATTGGAGTCACTACAATTGAATTTCTTATTAAATTTATATATTTTTTTCAGGAAGGACATTTCATCCGAGGCAAATACATGAAAACAGGAAAATAAAATTTTAAATCATTTAATTGCAATCAAAAATAAAAAATACTAACATTTACTTAAAAAATATTTTGGGGAAAATCCAGTTTTTTTTTTTTTTTTTTTTTTGTGAAGTCCCTTGAGAAAAATTCGTTAAAAATCTATCCATTCGCCTTAGGGTCTTTGAGAAAAAATTCTTTAAAAATCTATCCATTCGCTTTAGGGTCTTTGAGAAAAAATTCTTTAAAAATCCACGTTTATTGGTCTAAGGGTCATGGAGAAAAAAATCTGTAAAAATCTATCCATTCGCCTTAGGGTCCTTCAGAAAAAAATTCTTTAAAAATCTATCCATTCGCTTTAGGGTCTTTGAGAAAAAATTCTTTAAAAATCCACGTTTATTGGTCTAAGGGTCATGGAGAAAAAATCTGTAAAAATGTATCCATTCACCTTAGGGTCCTTCAGAAAAAAATTCTTTAAAAATCTATCCATTCGCCTTAGGGTCTTTGAGAAAAAAATTCTTTAAAATCCACGTTATTGGTCTAAGGGTCATGGAGAAAAAAATCTGTAAAAATATATCCATTCGCCTTAGGGTCCTTCAGAAAAAAATTCTTTAAAAATCTATCCATTCGCCTTAGGGTCTTTGAGAAAAAATTCTTTAAAAATCCACGTTTATTGGCCTTGAGATCCTTGAGAAAAAATTCTTTAAAAATCCACGTTTATGGCCTTGAGATCCTTGAGAAAAAATTCTTTAAAAATCCACGTTTATTGGCCTTGAGATCCTTGAGAAAAAATTCTTTAAAAATCCACGTTTATTGGCCTTGAGATCCTTGAGAAAAAATTCTTTAAAAATCCACGTTTATTGGCCTTGAGATCCTTGAGAAAAATTCTTTAAAAATCCACGTTTATTGGCCTTGAGATCCTTGAGAAAAAATTCTTTAAAATCCACGTTTATTGGCCTTGAGATCCTTGAGAAAAAATTATTTAAAAATCCACGTTTATTGGCCTTGAGATCCTTGAGAAAAAATTCTTTTAAAAATCCAGTTTATTGGCCTTGAGATCCTTGAGAAAAATTCTTTAAAAATCCACGTTTATGGCCTTGAGATCCTTGAGAAAAAATTCTTTAAAAATCCACGTTTATTGGCCTTGAGATCCTTGAGAAAAATTCTTTACAAATCCACGTTTATTGGCCTTGAGATTCCTTTGAGAAAAAATTCTTTAAAATCCACGTTTATTGGCCTTGAGATCCTTGAGAAAAATTCTTTAAAAATCCACGTTTATTGGCCTTGAGATCCTTGAGAAAAATTCTTTAAAAATCCACGTTTATTGGCCTTGAGATCCTTGAGAAAAATTCTTTAAAATCCACGTTTATTGGCCTTGAGATCCCTTGAGAAAAAATTCTTTAAAAATCCACGTTTATTGGCCTTGAGATCCTTGAGAAAAAATTCTTTAAAAATCCCCGTTTATTGGCCTTGGGGTGAGGATCCTTGAGAAAAAATTCTTTAAAAA